AAAAAAAGATTATCATATTTTATATAATCATTTATTAGTGATACAAAAAAACTGGAAATATTTTTTAATTTCGGTCACAAGTTCCGGTTAAAAAAAATAAATACCGGAATTTTTATCTTTTACCGGATTTTTTTCGAAATTTTTCAAGGTTTTTTTTTCACGCTGTCTGCCATCATTATTACACGTAATCTGATCACTGTCTCATTTTTTTGTTTTCCCGGACAGTGTGTCGTTTGAGGATGTTAAGGTTACTGAAAGTGAAGATATTTTCTAAAATACGCTTGGATCAGCTCTCCAACGTAATGCTGTTCGACATCTTAGCACTCCAAGCAATCCTATAATTAAATCTGCTAACTGTTTCCTAAACACATTTCTTAATAGCAATTGGACATCTAAAGTGGTTTTATTCTTTAACGAATTTGACAAACTATATAGAGTGAATAACGAGGTTCTCTTATCATGCCTAGAGACTCTTCACAATATTAGAACGAACAAGAATATTTATGCCATCTAATCCATAATTGCTATTGGCCCATTCAGAATTTTGCATTTGGATGCGCCAGTTAAGAACACATCACCTTTTAATGTTAAAGAGCCATTCATGAACCCAAACTTCACCTTAAAACAAGTGCAGACTATATACAAACAGTTTGCAGAAGAGAATTATATAATTATTAATGATGACATTGTTTAAGACATCTACATACAAACAAACGGGTAAAGTGAAGATATACTAAACTTTGATTTGTATGATACTAAGATCTATTTTTTTTTTTTTCAACAGTCATGCCGGTCTTGTCTGCCTGTGTGGGCGTGCGATCTACAGAAGGCTAATGAAAAATCTAGATAGGGGAGTATACCTGAGCTACGAAAATGGCAGATTTTCAGCATTATGTCATTGTCAGAAGAAGTATTAGAATATTCAACTTTTAAGAGAATGAAAGATGACCTTTTGGAAGATCATTCTAAGTCTGCTATGAAGCTTTTCCAGTCTGAATTTTTGATAACTTTTGAGGCTGTACGGCCTACCAATTGTAATCTGGCGAATTTTCTTGCTTCAGAAGAAGTTTTGGTGCCCGATGAAAATCTTCCTGGATATTTCAATCTATCATCACCTTTAGTGCGTTGGCTTCTCTTACAACAAATAATTCCAAAATTGTTTTCAACCTCGCCTCAAGCGGAAGTCTCCTATAATCCTTTCACAGGTACCTTAGACATCCTTAAGGCCTTGAAACAAGTTGTCTGTGTATTTGATAAAGAAATAATAAAGTCCTGCAACTCTTTTAAATTAGCACGTGTGCTGGTCAATAATGCAAATAATCGAGAAGTTCCTAGAGAATCAGTGTATGATGCGGAACTTTACCGGATCATGTCAAACTGGCTTGGTAGATTTACAGTAATGGGACAGTGGCATCTAAAATATCGTGCAAGTGGGCACATCAATAATAAATATGTCGACATAGTCATCGCACGATCTGATCATCCAACCATTGCGTTCAAACTTTTAGCTTCAGCTACAAAAAAAGAGCTCAAAGAACATTATAAACGGGCGCTTATATACGACAAGAAATTATCTGCAAACGAAACATGGGTGGTTCATTTCACCTGCGAAGAAAACGCCATTTCAGTACCTTGCTAGGCAACTAATGCCCAATTGCAGAAGGGCCTTTGAGTTGTGTTCTTTTGGCATGATCTCAATTTCATGAAAGTTAATATGATTGCATGTTGGTGAGATACGAATAGTAACGCAAGGCATGTTACTAATGTTGAGGATTTGTGATGCGTTCTGTTGCGAATATATAGAGGGGTGAAATAAATATTGAATAATTTTTATTTGATGTTTATTTATATTTATTAAATATATTATATGAATTTATTGTAGTAAATATTTAGTATGACCTCCTTTAGCAGAAATAACTGCATAGATTCGAGAAGGCATTGAATTAATAAGTTTTCGATAT